GGCTTGGACAAATGTTCTGTGGGAGCAGAAAAAACAGTCACGTTATTAGAAGCAGGGGCAGAGGCAAAGGAACCCTGATTCTTATATTTGGAGCTGTTTCTGGCTCGAATCCTGTTATCCAACTTAATTGTGAGGCGGATTAATTCCTCGAGTGTTGCAGGTTCGTCGAGGGTTGCTAGTTCATCCTTGATACTTTCGTTTAACGCCATAAAGTAAGCACCCTTTAAAGCACTTTGATTCCATCCGGAAGCAGCTGCTTTTACCCGGAAGTTAATGGAGAACTCCGCCACCGAAGAACTTCCCTGTTTGAGATTGAAAAGAGCACGAGAGTCAATAGTTTGATCAGTTTCTTGGTTGAAAACTTGAGAAAATTCTGAGACAAAATAGACGGAATATTGACAATTGAGGCTTTCGTCAGAGGCAAACCTTGCCTGAGCCCATTCCAGAGCTCTTCCTGTTAATTGGGACAAAATGAAAGTTATTTTCTTGTAATCCATGGGAAAAACTGCTGGGAGAGTTCTGAAAAATAAGGTGACATTGAAACAAAAAACCTTTGCAGTCCTTCATATTACCAGAAAATTTATCTGGGAGACTTGGGCGGAACTCTGGTGATGACGTCACTGCCGGTGACCTCGGAGGCGGAACTGGACCCGGAAATGGTTGCGCTGCCGTCGTGGCATTAGCGCTGCTCATGTAGTTAGCATAACTCTGAAGCATATGATTGTGAGAATCAACCACACGATATAACTCACGTAGGGTTTGAGTTTGTCCCTGGATCTGAGCATCTTGCTCCTCCAATCGACGGCGGAGATGATCTGCTGGGCCTTGTGTTTGGCCGCAGTGTTCTGTCATAATGGGTTCACTGATGAGACCCAGTTATGCAGAACACCACGGAGACGGAAACAATAGTAAAAGTTTAACAATGTTTATTGTTCACAAGCACATGGAATTATGACTGGAACTGGTTCAGGCCTGGGGACTGGTTCACTGGAGTCTGTGTAGATAACAGAGCAATTAGCTTTGGGAGCAATGGGGTTTGGTTTTGTGATGTTCAGATTTATACCTTGAGGGTTCCGGTTTGAACTCAGAGAGAGGAGCTGTTGGGTCCAGAGAAGGTTGGTTTCAGCAGAGTCCAATAACTGCTTCAGCGTCTTACTTCTGATGAGGGTGCAGACCTTGGCTTTTGGTTTCCAGCTCTTAATCCAGAGGTGCATGGGAAATCCAGAGAAGAGTCTTCGGGTTTGGCTCAGAGGGCAGGCTCGGCAGTCTAAGCTCATCCAGAGCTTACAGAGAAAAACTAGTTTCCTGGAAACAGAGACACAAAGGATTAGAATCCTAGCAGGACTCAAAGAGCAATAAAAGATTTCTCAGAAGGTTCTTTGGCTCAGGTGCTAACCAACTAGATTCAACACTGCGGCGTCGAGGCAAGGTCTGAAGACAGCTTTTATACTGTGGATCCTCTGATGATGGAACGAGCCACAGGTGCGTCGAAGGCTCGGCTCAGGAGGATCCACGGCGGACTCTGCTGGAGGAAGGTGGTACTTCTCCAGCTCCCAACAGAAGTCATTTTAATACTGTATTAACATGTTATTATAACAGCAAATTTTACAGGTTTTACCAGTATTGTAAGGAATTGAAATAAATACAAAATAAAACCCTATTATAAACCTGTATTTATAAAACTGGAGCTCCTCTGAGTAACTCCCTTATAATCACATTTAAACTTGATGAATTGGGAATAAAATACAGAACAAAAATTCTAGTTAGACTGATCTAATTAATTTTACGTTGTTTTCATCAAAACAACTAAGTTGCTTTGATGAGCTCTGTGGCTCATTGTGAAAAACAGCTGATCCCAGGCTGTTCTCTACATCCAGCCTCTTCCTCTGCTTGGTTTTGATGTGTCACAGCTGAAGGTGAACTCAAACACATAAGAAAAACATACTTTTAGGTTGATAAAAGCTTGTTTATTTTTTTCAGCTGGGTCCTCACTAAGCAAAACAGATCCCAGTCCTATTTTATTTTACTACCTGAGAAAAAAAATATTATCATGTACCCCTTGCAATGCACTCGCTGACCACTAGGAGTACGAGTACCTCCTGGTTGGGAATCACTGCTCTACATTACCATTTTCTTCTCATACTGCAAGCTTTTTCAGGTATCATTGCTACAGTTTCTAATCCAACATATTCTACATCCACCTTTATTTTCACCCATTTTTATCTCTGATCCCATTTTTAGGATTCCGTATCTATGTTTTCAAAACCCTCTAATCTCGTAATTTATCCTAATTAACCCCTTTTTGTCCTGAATCCTTTCGTCATTTCTTATCACTTATTCGTACCCGTTTTTGTTCCATATCCAACCATCCATTGTCTTCAGATTTTGCCATAATCTGATTACCAGGGTAACAGAACCAGGAGGGGATCCTAGATAATCAGCTCCTGACAAAACATGCGAGTCCTTCTGAAGGTTTATTAGGGGGCTTCCTGGACCTTCATCCAAACCTATCATCCTCATCATCATTCAAAACTCCTCATATCTTTTCCATTTAAATTTTTCATCTCATTCATTTTCCTAAATCAGCTTCATCATCACTACAGCTTTAATTCCACTTATCCTGCCTTAATTTCACCCATCCATCCATTTTCTGACACGCTTAATCCCAAGTGCAGTTGTGAGGGGTGCTGGTGCCTATCTCCAGCTGTCTTAAGGGTAAGGTACACCCTGGACGGGTCGCCAGTCCATTGCAGGGCAACACAGAGACAAACAACCATTCATGCATGCTCACACCTAAGAAAAATTTAGAGAAGCCATGAATTTAGCTTGCGAGGAAGCCGGGGTACCTGGAGAGAACCCACGCACGCTCAGCGAGAACATGCAAAATCCATGCAGAAAGACCCCGGGTCGGAAATCGAACCCAGAACCTTCTTGCTGCAAGGCACTGCACCACTGAGCAGCCCGCCTTAATTTCATAATCTCCTAATTTTTTTTCTAATTTCCTAATGCTACCTGCAGGACGTTCTTACTTATCATTGCTATCCCAACCCATCGCAGTCATCTAGTTCATGTCCATGCTATCTTACATTTAAGGCACTGAATTGCAACTAAATGCTATGTAAAAAGAACCTGCATTCAGCTGTTGTTTCCAGATGTATTGTTAATCTGTTCTATCAAACTTTTCTCCTTGTGTTTCATAGGTAGCTGAGAAGTGTCTAAGTCTGGGAGCCCAGAAAGCTTTTTATATAGCAGCAGACATGGCCAGTGAATCTGACCCTGACAAGGTGGTTGATTTTGCTCTGGAGAAACTGGGAGGTTTGGACTACTTGGTTCTAAACCACATTGGCCCGACTCCCTTTGGCGTGTGGGAGGGAGATGTAGAACATACCAGGTGGTTAATGAAGGTAATGGATCACTTAGACAGTCTCCCTCTGCGTACAATCAGGGGATTGCCCTGATGTTTTTTTATGTGTTTTTGTGTTTTAAAGATAAATTTCTTTAGCTACACTCAGATGGCCTGGAGAGCTTTGCCCTCTCTTGAGCAAAGTAAAGGATCTTTGGTGGTTGTTTCATCACTATTAGGTAAGTTTCTATCATTATTGTAATTACACCTAAGCTATGAAACATAGATGGTATTTATATATTAACTACTTTAACACTTATTCTTCCAGTCACTGGCTAGATGGGAAAAATCCTTATCCCCACACCCATAAAGGCTTCTTTAACAAAATCTCATATTCCAAACTCATATTGCCATTTAAGCTCAAGCTGATCATAAAAGAGCTATTTTTAATATCCATAATTTAATGGCACATTTGTCTTTGGTTTGCAGCTAAAATGACAAGTCCTTTCACTTTACCATACACCTCAACAAAGTTTGCATTAAATGGATTCTTTGGGTCCCTTAATCATGAACTGGCAATGAAGAAGAGCAATGTTTACATCTCAATATGCACACTGGGACTCATTGACACTGAATCAGCTATGGAAAAAGTCAGGTTTGTGAAATATGTTACTATGCTGTGTACACAAGGGATTGTTGGGAAAAACATCAGTTGTACTTGAGTTGATGTCCACAGTAACATGCTGTGTTTTTCCGTATCTCAGGGGCGTCACAAAGATACCAGCCTATCCTGCCACAGACGCTGCTTTAAACATCGTCATTGCAGGAGCAACAAGACAGCCGGACCTTTACTACCCTTCGTTCACATATGTTGTGACTGTATTCAAAGAGATGTTTCCTTCGACAACAAACTACGTCATCCAGAACTCCTACAATTATGTTCCATAAAAAAAATATGTGACAGAAGTGCTGACATATTGTGCTGGTTGTTGGAGGGATACTGCTCTTTCTTCATCCATTTACATGTTAAAAATGACACAATGATCGCAGATTGCTACACAAGCCGCAAGTTACAAAAAAATAATAGAACATAAAACAAAACAATAGCTGGCATATGTAGATCTCAAGGCACGCTTGCTGAATGCACTCTTATGAATTAGCCCAAGCGCAGATCGGCCAATGCATACAAAAAAAAAATGTCAATGTCGACCGACTGATTTATCCGTCTTGCAGATGATACCATTGGAAATATATGACAACATATGAGGGCAGCATACAATAGGATAAACTAGAAAGCTACCCATGTTTATCCCCCGTTTGCACATTGTTTTTCTTATCCTTTAATTAAAAAGTAAGATACAGAAGTGCAAAAAGCATTTAAACTCGTTAATTTCTAGGTTTTAACAAAAAATTGTACATTGCATCTGTTCACTTAGTTCTTTAATTATTTACTCTAACATGATGATTAGCAAAAACATAAAAAGACATTAAAGTCTGCTAAAGAAAAGATTTAAACCTCAACAGACAATTGGAGAACAGAATATGATGTATACAGACTAACATAACTCCAACTAGTTTATTTTATAATGTGATTTTTAGCAGAGGTGCATGAAGCTCCAGGCTTTTTGAACTTTGATCATTAAGTGCAAATTTCATCTTTTACTTTCTTTTATTTTGAACAGATGTTTTTTTTTTTTTTTTTTTTTATCATGAAGTTTTAAAAGTGGCACTTGGAATCAAGCAATGATTCTTTAATTTCTTTGTGGCACTGGCACTGTTATTGCAATTTAAGTGATTATAAATCATATTTAATTATTTAGTTACAATAAGTAATTTATCTTGAAGGCTTTGGATACATCTTGGTACAGCAGCGCCCTCTACAGATAAAATTAAGGTTCTAGCCTACATTAGCTTAAATAAAAATAAAAAAACATTTACCAAACCATACCAAAATACTTTATTAATTATTAATACTGTAACTTTTTATTTCCCTTTGATCATTATAAAAGTAATAAATCATGCTATGAATAAAATCCTGACCATCAGAACATGAAACTGTTATTTTTAAATTCTCCACACAAAGTATCATTTGTTTTATTTTGTTCCTGTCTTTATTTGTTATCTATTATTATTGTTGTCCTAATTTGCTTAGCCTCGTATCACCAAGATAATCACATTTTTACCACTATTGAATTAGGATATTTTCTTGCTGTTTTTTCATTGAGGCCACTGCTAATCTTGTTGTAAACCAGAGTTATGTTTATATACAGTGAGGAAAATAAGTATGTGAACAACCTGCTATTTTTCAAGTTTTCCCATTCTGAAATCATGGAAGGTTCTGAAATTGTCATCATATGTGCATGTCCACTGTGAGAGACATTTCTGTCAGCCAAGGTCAGCTATTCCTTTCCTAGGAAGGAGAAGAGCCTAAATATGCATTATAATGGCTTCAATATCATTGTTATCAGTCATATTTTATGAGTATAATTAATAAATTAATCATGTTTTGTAACACATGATCTGTATCATTACCAAATTGAATGAATCGTTCCTTAACACGAGGCGCATCTCTAGCAAGAATTTTGCTTAAATGTTTTTTAAGCCATCCTGTAAACAGATAGACAGACAAACACACAAACTTTCCTAAAAACATAACCCCATTGGCGGAGGCAAATATATAGATTTTCTTTTTAAAGTTTAAAAAACATAAATTCTTAATCAGAAAATATTATGCCTGTAAGTCTGTGGTGAGTTTGAACTACAGTCACTTTATTCAGCCACGCCTCCAAGGCCCCTCCTTAGTGGCACCACTGATAAGAAGCAGAAATAAAGTTTCCTCTACAGTTACAGTATTTTAATAATCATGTCCAGTTCCACATTTCAGACTCAGCTCTTCAGTAATCCATAACATACTGCTTTTATGATGTTTTTTGCTGTTTTTTTTTTATATATACTTATTTACCCATCACTTCTACATTGTTATTTAGGCCCCTGAGGGGCAGGTAACGTTAAAAAAAAAAAATTTTTTTTTAAATCACTTACCACGAAATATTTCAATGTTAACACCCTAAGACCTGATGCATGTCAACATTTTGAGAATTTGTTTTCCACCCACCAGGCCCCACCTAGGTCCACTTAGAGCCTATAAAAGAGAGAGAAAAAAGAAAAAATACATTTAAAAATCTGCAACATTTTGCTTATGCTCCAAGCACTACCAAAACACAGATCCAGAGTTAACAGTTCAAAAGTCTGAGTTGGTTTACAGACTGTTAAAATTTAAACCACATTCAGATGCTTATCAAAGATCACCATTGTCAGCCCTCCTTCTGGCCACTTTCCATTTAACGCAAGCTGTCTGATCTGACCACCGTTTCTAACCAATCATACACCAGTCAAGAAAAAAAAAATAGAGTCACACAAATATCTATGTTTAATTTCAAACAATATATATATATATTTGTATAAATATAACATGGTTAATATTTTCTGCACAAACAACAAAGCCAAACAAATACTGATAAAAACATATGAGAGATTGCTGTTTAATTCATTTGTTTTGAGAGACATAATCAGCCTTTTTTCAAACGTTTTCACAGCGCAAGAATAGGAAGGAGGGACAGATTCTAGTCAAATGGGACTCTGTTTTACAGACCACACCTCCTTAGAGTCCGGAAAAAGGGGGAAAACAGGAAGGGTTTGAAACAGACGCATTATTATGGTGCCTTACATGCAAGCTGAAATACACACACACTAACTGCATAGAGTCTGACTTTTATCAAGTTTACAGAATGGGAGCGTTTTTAAAAATCTTGATTCTGAGCATTAGTGTTGCTTACATAGCTGTGAAGTGGACTGGGCCAAGTTTTGATCCAGGTAAGTTAAACAAATGCATTAGGCTTTTCTTTCTACTGTATAACTTTTTCTCATTAACCTTAGAGTATGGTGATATAATTACAGCACAGGGGCACATACATTTACACCATGATGGTTGATGTCAAGTCATCTGGTAAATTAGGGGACAAACAAAGACTCTGAAGTAAATAAGGTAATAAATACAGACTGTAAAGTTTAATTAGCAACACACTGTAAAGGTAAATATAGTGTTGAATACAGACCGTAAAGGTTAATATGGCAATTAAAACAGACTATAAAAGTATTTATAGCAGGGCTACAACAATAAATTGATTATTAAATTAGTCATAAACTAATTTGAGAATCGATTAATGTATAGAGCCAATTAGAGCTGCAATTATAAAAAAATATATATATAATAAAAATATGGCATTAAAGATAAAACACTTTTTCATCTGTCAATATCCTCTATTTAAAACTCCTTAAGTGGAAAAGTTTTAGTTTCACCTGGTTTGATTCTGTCAAAAATCTTCTTTTGCAATCTAATTATTAATAGATTCATCGAAAAAAATAAATGAGACATTAATCGACGAGCAAAAATAATTGTTCACTGCAGCCCTAAAATTCAGTATTGAATACAGACTATAAAGGTAAGTATTTAATTGAATACATGCTGTAAATCTTAATATGGTAATGCACACAAATTATAAAAATGTAGAAATGTTGAACATAGAGTTAATATGACATTAAGGTGAATAAGAAAAATGATCGTTTTGTAAACAATATGCAGTCGCATCTTCACTATTTCAGAAGGTTATTAAAAACCTAACTTATTTCTTGATTAAATACAAAAAAGTAAAACTCAAATTATAACAATGTTTAAAAAAAAAACGTATTAAATTAAAACAGTTACCCCCCCCAACACATTTGAAGGCCCTTAAACCATTGCTCCAGCTGATGCATGCTGAGGTCTAATGTTATTCTCCATGTTTCAAACCTCCCCTGAAACAGAGATTTTTCATCTGGGCTAAAGTGAAAACAAAGTCTCTTTTAAGGTGAAAGACAAGTTTAATTTGGAAATGGAGGTCCCAGATTCTGTAGGAAAAGTGGAATGGTAAAGAATCCAAGTTATATGAAAGCATTGTGTGAAGCTTTGATGATCCGGGGAGCCATGTCATCTGTCGGTGTTGCTGCACTGTGATTTATGAAGTCCAAACACAGCGTTGCTGTCTTCCAGGAAATTTTAGAGCACTTTTTACTGACAAACTTTATGGAATTGTTGATTTAATTTTCCACCAGCACTTGGCACCTCTCCACGCTGTCAAAGTTTATTTCACCTGGTTCAATGACCATGGTGTCAGTGGGCTTGATTGGTCAGCGAACTAAGCTGACCTAAACCCCATAGATAATATTTGGAGTATTGTCAAGAGGAAGAGGAGAAACACCAGAGCTCACACTGCAGGCGACTAAAGTAAAGATAGCAAGTGCAGCTTCTATTTCAATTTAACAGACTGCATGCCACAGAGTATAGATTCATGCAAAAAAGATCCTTAAACAAAGTATTGAGTTCATATACTGCACATATAGTTTCAACTTGTCTATGTATATTAATTCTAATCCAAATTAACTAAACACGAATAAATAGCTGTAACTTAAAATTACACTAGTTATAAATAGAAAATATTTTCAATGGAGTCTTTCTTCCTTTTTATGCAACACTATTATCCTCTTTTTTCCCCTTTTTTGTGATATTCTGGGAAAAAAACATTAGGTTTCATTGTCAATGGAATGTGATTTACTAATATGCCTTTTTAATATCTAAAAGAGAGGACTGATTTACCTCTGCTGCTTCTATCTACAGCTACTGTCACATATAGTTGATACAGCTGCACAAGAACACCTAATAACTTTACAGTGTCTCCATAAAAAAAACTACAAAAATACCACTATTCCTGTCTAGAAATCTCTGTATAAAATGTAAGAAAGCTGTTGACTTGATTTTAACAACTTCCGTAAGGTATTCGTTTGTTCAGCCAATAAGTGGGAATTGAACTGAAATGTAAATAATTTCAACCTTTATATCTATACATATGTATAGGCTAGACATGCATCTAGTATGAGATTCTTACTGATTAAACTTTAGATTTTAAATAAACTGTGTTATACACTTTAACTGCTTATAATAAACACAAAATAATCAACAATTTTGCTACTAAAAAGTATAAATCTTTGATTTTAACAAAACAAAATGTTATGTTTTGATTTAGAAACTTAGGCAAAATCAAAAATATTAATTTAAACACGTGATATATTTAGTAGCCGCTTGGAAGTGCGTATTGCACAGCCCTGTTGCTGCATCCACCCTGCAGTAGGTTGACATGCTGTCTGTTTCTTAAAGACTTGCTGCACTACTGTGTGACTCTTTGCTCCATACAGGTGGAGACAACACCAGGCACTCTAAACATTTTTAGGATTTTATTAAGATCTAGAAGATTTAAGCATCTCAGTGGTTTTAAATCATAAATAGAGTATGATGGAAAGTCTTTGTTGAATTAAACCATACCCTTTAACCTTTGGTATGCATTGTTAATTACTGACAGGTAGCCTATACACGAGTTAGCTATATGCTTTTAAGTAAAAAATTTATGATTCAATTAAAAAAATTAATTCTGCAATTGTTATTATTACAAAAAATAAATTCGTATGATTTTAAACATAATTACTGCATTAAACAGAAAATTTCCCTGCAAACCAAACCGTAAGTTCCTTCACCTTAAGTTCCTGGGGGGAAAAAATGTAATTGTAACACTGACATTGAACCATCCATGATTCCTTTAGGAAAGCTAAGAATGAAGATCAATATAAATTAATCACACCTGGCTATTCCTAATCCTCAGCTTTCTTTTTATTGTTTCTAGATAGGAAATATCTATAAATTCACAATAGATCCAAGCTGCAAGCACAGCTCAAGGTCAAAAAAGGTTTTATACCCACGAATGTATATGGATGACAATAATGCCATTCAACTTTAAAAACATGTCCATACCTGGCATATCTTTTCGTAATACTGCTCCTAAAAGATTGAAGATGCAATGTAAGTGCATACTGAGATAACAGTTATATTGTGTTCAAGGTTATCTGCTGGAAATGTGTAACTATGTATATGAACACAAAATCTTTTAAGTGTTTGAGAGGAGGGGATGTGGTGGTGGTGTGTGTGTGTGGGGGGGCTATATATGCAGGAATCAACTTTGTGTTTTGGTTTCACTCCCTCCTTGTATGAAAGAATAGATTTGAGAATATTTTTAGTTTATAAATTATTGAATGGCTTAGCAGCAGAATACACTACAGATTTATTGTTAGTGTATTAATTGCCAGGACCTCTGGTCAAAGTCTACTCTGAAAGTCCAGAACCAAAACCATGTAGTTCTCATGCTCCACTAATCTGGAGGGGGGAAAAAAATCTGTAAAAGTGCTGAAACCCTAAGTGAACTCCTAACTGAAACATCATTACTTTAAGTTTGTAACCCAATTTTTCTTTCACTGCCTCTCCTTCCCCACTGCAATCTCTTTTCCTCTTTTCTTTTCTTATGTTTTGTTCACATAAAGCCCTTTGAGTTGTCATGTTACTGAAATGTGCTGAACAGATAAAAGTTCTAACATTCACAAATAAAGTTTGTTTTTCTTCTTATACCCATTATTTTTATTTCAGCATCTCTCAAAGGTGCCAAGGTGTTGGTGACAGGAGCCAGTTCAGGCATCGGTGAACAAATGGCATATCATTATGCTCGCTTTGGAGCTCAGATTGTTATCACAGCAAGGAGGGAGAAGGTTTTACAGCAGGTCAGTTCTCGTCTTTTTGCTCTGTCTTTTAGTACTACTGCCTATTTTGCCATATAATGCTGAAGTAAAATGAAAAATGTTTTAAAAGCAAAAACGTAAATGAGATACATGGACAAAATATATATAATAAAAATATATCAGATGCTTTCACAATAAATATGTTAGACTGTATTTTATGTGGAGTTTTTCTAATTTGTACTCCCAGGTTACTGAGAAGTGTTTGAGTCTGGGAGCCCAGAAAGCTCTCTTCATACCAGCAGACATGTCCTCTGAGTCGGACCCTGACAAAGTCATCGATTTTGCTGTGAAGAAACTGGGAGGCTTGGACTATCTGGTTCTCAACCACATTGGCGTGACTCGCTTTGCAATGTGGAATGGAGAAGTGGATCATGTCAGGTGGCTCATGAAGGTAATGGAATCTTTTGATTGTTTAGCAGGGATTAAAAACCAAGAGGGTGCCCTGATGTTTCTTTTATCTCTCTTTCTGGGTTTTATAAAGCCCAATTTCTTCAGCTACATACAAATGGCCTGGAGGGCCTTGCCCACCTTGGAACAAAGTAAAGGCTCTTTGGTAATAGTGTCATCAATAGCAGGTAAGGTTCATTAACAGTTGTTACTCTATGAAAGGCATAGTGGAGGATTTTCCCGAGTTTTTGAAAACAACTGCCCTCTCCACTTAAAAAAAAATGCACATGCTCAACCCTATACCTGCTCATGAGAGGGAATGCCTATTAAACACGTGCAAGAGCATGCACGAGCCCATTTCTCCTTGTGCATGCTCTGTTTAAGAGTTGCTGTTTGCATCGCTCATACAAGCCTACTTTCCAAATGAAGATTTGCAATTTTTAAGTTAAGTGAGAATGAGGACAAGAACATAGGACGGCCTTACGTCAACATTTCACCAAAATGATTGACAATTAGGAGGACCACTTATTTTGATGATCCACCTGGGAAAAGAACATCCTCCACTATATCTTTATTTAACAAACTTTTGCTTAAATTTATAAAAGAATTTTCTGAGGTATTCATAAAGTTTTGGTGATATACACTACTGTTCAAAAGTTTGGGATCACATAGAAATTTCCTTATTTTTTAAGGAAAAGCGCTGTACTTTTCAATGAAGATAACTTTAAACTAGTCTTAACTTTACAGAAATACACTCTATACATTGCTAATGTGTTAAATGACTATTCTAGCTGCAAATGTCTGGGTTTTGGTGCAATATCTACATAGGTGTATAGAGGCCCATTTCCAGCAACTATCACTCCAGTGTTCTAATGGTACAATGTGTTTGCTCATTGGCTCAGAAGGCTAATAGATGAATAGAAAACACTTGTGCAATCATGTTCACACATCTGAAAACAGTCTAGCTTGTTACAGAAGCTACAAAACTGACCTTCCTTTGAGCAGATTGAGTTTCTGGAGCATCACATTTGTGGGGTCGATTAAACATTAAAAATGGCCAGAAAAAGAGAACTTTTATCTGAAACTCGACAGTCTATTTTTGTTCTTAGAAATGAAGGCTATTCCATGCGAGAAATTGCTAAGAAATTGAAGATTTCCTACAACGGTTTGTACTGCTCCCTTCAGAGGACAGCACAAAAAGGCTCGAACAAGGGTAGAAAAAGAAGTGGGAGGCTGCGTTGCACAACTGAGCAAGAAGATAAGTACATTAGAGTCTCTAGTTTGAGAAACAGATGCCTCACACGTCCCCAACTGGCATCTTCATTAAATAGTACCTGCAAAACACCAGTGTCAACATCTACAGTGAAGAGGCGGCTGCGGGATTCTGGGCTTCAGGGCAGAGTGTCAAAGAAAAAGCCATATCTGAGACTGGCCAATAAAAGAAAAAGATTAAGATGGGCAAAAGAACACAGACATTGTATTGTACTCGTACTCGTACTCGTCGTCTCCCGCTTTATCCGGAACCGGGTCGCGGGGGCAGCAGACTAAGCAGAGACTCCCTGACTTCCCTCTCCGCAGACACCTCCTCCAGCTCTGTTGGGGGAAGCCCTAGGCGCTCCCAGGCCAGCCAAGAGACATAGTCTCTCCAGCGTGTCCTGGGTCATCCCCTGGGCCTCCTCCCGGTGGGACGTGCCTGGAACACCTCCCGAGGGAGGCGTCCAGGGGGCATCCGAAGAAGATGTCCGAGCCACCTCAACTGACTCCTCTCGATGTGGAGGAGAACCGGCTCTACACTGAGCCTCTCCCGAATGACCGAGCTCCTCACCCTATCTCTAAGGGAGAGCCCAGCCACCCTGCGGAGAAAGCTCATTTCAGCCGCTTGTATCCGGGATCTCGTTCTTTCGGTCAAGATCCAAATTTCATGACCATAGGTGAGGGTAGGAACGTATACCGACCAGTAAATTGAGAGCTTTGCCTTTTCGCTCAGCTCTCTCTTCACCACGACAGACCGGTGCAGCGTCCGCATTATTGCAGCAGCCGCACCGATCCGTCTATCGATCTCCCGCTCCATTCTTCCCTCACTCGTGAACAGGACCCCAAGATACTTGAACTCCTCCACTTGAGGCAAGGACTCTCCTCCAACCTGAAGGGGACATGCCACCTTTTTCCGGTCGAGAACCATGGCCTCGGATTTGGAGGAGCTGATTCTCATCCCGGCCGCTTCACACTCGGCTGCGAACCGCCCCAGCGCACGCTGTAGGTCTTGGCAGGTCCTGCCAAGACATTGTATTGTATTTTATTTATTTGAATAGGGACAATGCACATTAATGAACATCAGTATAAAAACAAATGTAAATATGCCGGATTATAGCTACAAAAATAGTTTTCATCCGTAGTCCCTAGGCAGGCAAATACATAAGAAAGAACATAACATACAATACAAGCATCACAAGGAAATGTTAAGAGTTTAGTGGTTACATGACTGGTTTGTTTTCATCTGTAGTTTGAGTTGGGCTTTGAAGCTGATCAGTGTAGGGCTCTCCCGTATAGAAGACTGTTCCAGATGTTAGTGGCTCTCACAGAGAGAGTGTTCTGACCAAAAGTTGTTCTTCTGTGAGGCACCTCACAGTCTCCTCTGGAGGAGGCCCTGGTTCTCAGGCCACTTGAAGTCTTGTGTTTGAACAGAGTAGACATAGGAGGTGGGGCTAGTCCATGTAGAGCTTTATAAATGAAGCATACATACTTAAAATTTATAAAATTTTCAAAATTTAAAAGATTGTACTTGTTTAAAATAATACATACATGGAAAGAATTAGGTTTTTGGTCAAACACTTTTAGAGATTTTTTGTACAGTGATTCAATTAATTTTAAGTTTTCCTCTGTCCAAGTTTCCCCTTGGACAGAGGAAAACTGGAAAAAAGTGTTGTGGACGGATGAATCCAAGTTTAAGGTGTTTGGATCACAAAGAAGAACGTTTGTGAGACGCAGAACAAATGAAAAGATGCTGGAAGAATCCCTGACGCCATCTGTTAAGCATGGTGGAGGTAATTCGATGGTCTGGGGTTGCTTTGGTGCTGGTAAGATGGCAGATTTGTACAAGTTAAAAGGGATTCTGAATAAGGAAGGCTATCACTCCATTTTGCAACGCCGTGCCATATCCAGTGGACAGCGCTTGATTGGAGCCAATTTCATCCTACAACAGGACAATGACCCTAAACGCACCTCCAAATTGTGCAAGAACTATTTAGAGGAGAAGCGGGCAGCTGGTATTCTATCGGTAATGGAGTGGCCAGCGCACTCACCTGATCTGAACCCCATTGAGCTGTTGTGGGAGCAGCTTGATCGTATGGTACGCAAGAAGTGCCCATTCAACCAATCCAACATGTGGGAGCTGCTTCTGGAAGCGTCGGGTGCAATTTCTTCAGATTACCTCAACAAATTAACAGCTAGAATGCCAAAGGTCTGCAATGCTGTAATTACTGCAAATGGAGGATTCTTTGACGAAAGCAAAGTTTGAAGTAAAAAAAATCTCATTTCAAATGCAAATCATTATTTCTAACCTTGTCAATGTCTTCACTCTACTTTCTATTCATTTCACAATGTATGGTGGTGAATAAGTGTGACTTTTCACGAAAACACAAAATTTTTGAACGGTAAACGGTAAAACAAAAACTTTTGAACCGTAATGTATCTAGTAGCAATAAAAAGTAACCATCCAGTAATTAAACAGATCAGTTGCCATGTGTGAGAATTTTTGAGGAATATTAATGTTTTTTGGTGTTTCTGAGTATGTTAATGGCACATTAAATAACAAAATGAAAAAATGTCCTTTCTTTCCAAGAAAAAAATTTAATTTGGTGTTTTTACAATATGCCTAAAAAAATATAGAATTATCAGTTTCGTTTTTATTAAACTCAGTCTATATTGGGGCTGCAACTATCGATCTTTTTGTAAATCAATTAATCTGTCAATAATAATTAAAATTAATCAGAAAACAAAAGGTTTCTTAAAGAACACTTTTTATTAAATTACACCAGGTGAAACTAAAAAATGTAAACTTTAGGAGTTCTGGATAGAGAATATTGACAGATAAAATGTATTTTTTTTTATTTAAATACAGAATGGTTATATATTTTTGTAAATTTTTTGTATAACTGCTGCTTTATGTGGGTCGCTCTGTCAGCTAAAGGCCAGTTTTACAGCATCCACACTCCATCTAATGAATAATCGATTACTAAATTAGTTGACAATTATTCAATTAATTAAATTATAAGTGTATATCCTCTAATTTTTAACAGCTTACTTACGGCAACAAATATATACTAAATGTCTATTTCAGGAAAACACAAAAAGCTGCTTTATTTAGAACTATAGCACCAATTCTCATTAAATGCGGAAGAGTTTTAAACAAAAGACTCAGAGGAAGCCACAGACTTGTTCACCTAAATAACTTGACATCTATCTGTTGTTTCGTTTTTTTGAAGTATCTCAAGTGCTTTATAGTGTATTCATGTATCTGTCTTTGGTTTGTAGGGAAAATGAGCAATCCTTTTGCAGCGCCATACACTGCAACAAAAGCTGCTTTGAATGGATTCTTTGGCTCCCTCACTCACGAACTTGGAATGAAGAAAAGCAACGTGTCCGTCTCGTTATGCACTCTGGGATTTATTGACACTGAATCAGCACTGAATGCAGTCAAGTTAGTTAACACCTTACAATACATATTCTAAGAAATTTTGTATTGTGAACTGTACCAGCTAGGTTTCATATCCTGTTTCTTTCTTTTGTACTCCAGGGGAATCATTACGGCACCAGCGTACCCTGCTTCAGAAGCTTCATTGAATATCATCATAACAGGAGCAACAAGGCAGCCGGAGCTGTTCTACCCCTGGTACACATATGTCATGAATATCATCAAAGACTGGTGCCCCCCCTTAACAAACCATCTCATCCGGAACTCCGTTAACTACAATCCATAGAAAACATGTTTATGATCAACCTCTCCTAAAAAAAAAAATTACATATTTGATTCTGAAATGCACTTACATCTTACTTACAATCAAATGCACTTTAATTTAGTGTCGGAACTTTTTAGATTGCACTTTTTGACCATCGTTTTTGTTTAGCAGCATTCATGGTATATCTGTATAAGTTTCAATGCTATGATTGGTAAGGAAAATACAGTTTGGCTTTTGTTGCAAAATCCAAGCAAAGTTACACGCAAGAAATTATAGAAATTGGAGACACGAAATAATATAAGTCATTTTTTTTTGCATATTAGAGAGAGACAACCTTAAGACTCACATGTTAAGATGCCTAAAGTGGGAAAGAAATAGATTGGTGACAAAGAAATCAAAATAAATAAGAGGCGTGCATGAAGTCATTTTAATACTGTATTACCATGTTATTATAACAACACATTTTACAGGTTTTAACAGTATTGTTTGGCTGGCCTCATGACTTTGGCTGCTTGTCAACTTGCTTAAAAGTGGAATCTTATATGACCCAGCAGGAAGCAAAGTCGGACAGTATACAGTACTTTGACAAATTACAGCAATTTTTTGGCCAATTTTCCTCATATGTCCTAAAGCTTTTACTGCTTTTAGAAAAGCGATGCCTTTAAATTTACACAATTTCAAGGTAACCTCCGTCAATGCTCAAAAATGATTGAGGCTCAGGCTCAACGATTCATTTCCTTTTTTAATCCATATCACTAAACATATTGACCCAATGTTTCATTTTATAGCAAAATGTCCTACTTTATGTCTTTTGTATCTTTTGATTTCATAAAAAATAGATTTGATTTCAAAAAAAAAAAAAAATGTTTGAGTAACCTGTTTGATGTAAACTGAGTCAATTCATTTCTTGCTAATGGATGGTAAGCTGTTGAAAATGCTTTGGATCGCTTTATATGATCTCTAAATGTCCACATGAGGGCAGTAGTGCATAAACTGTGAAGAAGCACCACTGCTCCTTTCCAGATCTATTAACAGCAGAACACTATTATAAGATTATCTGCATGTCCATGGGATGAAGCAAATATAAATTATGGTTTAAATGTTAAACAATAGATGTTTATAACTTTATATCTTTTTTGCAATTAGACTGTGAGGGATGTACTCATGTTTCTATATTTGTGTGCATCACATCCTTTATTCTGAGTATTCTCTATGTTCCTTAGTCTTGTCCTCAAAAGGTAGCCTCACTGTAAGAACTGCAGACTCCTTACAGAGCAGGACCTTCTCACTGGGTTACTTTGTTTCTTTGTTTGCCAACCTCAAAGGCCCCAGAGGCTCCCTGTGCAGCTCAATCCATCCCGGTGGTCTACTCCTTTTGTAGCTCACTCTAAAAGCTGCACCCCACTGTTAGAGCAGTTTTCTACTGCTTATCAAGACGGAGCTGTCCTTGTCATAAAAGAAAAAAACAGAAATAGTGCAGCCTAAAAGGCTTTTTCAATTGAACGCATATAGACAAGATTCTAGAGGCAGTGAAAACCCTTGGATGTGAAGTGAGTTGCTCTCTGTTGTCTTCTGACTGAAGGCGGAAGTCATTGAAACACATGTCTTTATTTCAACACTCTTAAGGGAATTTTAAACCTTCCTATAGGCACCGCAAAAAATGAAAACAGTCCTCATTCTGTTCGGCCTTCTTCTGTCCTAACCGTTGTTAAATTTGCAGAGAAATCCTCGGCCTCCTGCAGAGGAGAGCAGCCATGGCCTGGGAGCGAAGCCAGAAACACCTGCAACAGATTAGAGCTGCTAATGCTAGGTCATAAATCCTCTCACCCTTCTAGAGAATCTCCTTATAAACCATACATAGGACAACTCACCCCCTGTGGAACTGTGGGGCTAACTGCGACACATCAATGCAGCACTTTTTTATACCACAAGTAGGAGAAGCAGGTACGTTGTCAAGGTTATCCCCTGGATGTGGCCTCTTGGTCAAGATCAAACCATTTAGCTGTGATTATGGCCAGAAAGCAAAGCTGAGGACAGATGGAAACCTGAAAAAGTGGTCAGTGGTAGACAGATTACCCCTTTCTTAAGGTTGTTATTGAATTCAAATAAACAATTTTTCTGAGATTGACATGATCTCTTAGGAAAAAGCATTCACTGCAAGATCAACCCAAATATACTGTATATCTATTGCACGATACAATACCTGATACCTGGCTCTGCAGTATGGGCCAATACCGATACCACCTGTTTGAAATTGATGTGTGTGTGTATATATGAAGAACTACATACTACTTGGATGTAAACTAATTGCCATCATGGCTTTGTCAAGCTGCTGCCTACCTTTGTGAAGCAGACCAATACAAAGTGAATCCAGTAGAACTTTTTATTGTCTACCTAGAATGGGTGACAATAGTTGAATAAATTTTTGGCTCTCCAAAATGGTATCGGTTCCCTATTTGTTGGTACTCGCCGATACCGATACCTCCATTTTAGTGCAGTCGGGGCCCCGCCCTATACTGGTATAGGTGCAACACTAATCTCTATATTACATATATTGTGATACTGCATGTCTCTTTTCTGTGGACAATGTTTACTCATGATTCTCGTATTTTATAGACTTTATTGAGCACAAGTATAATTTCTTCATTAATCTCTGTCTAATGCCTAGATTCCTTGTAGTGTATACTTAACACACTAAAACCTTATGGTGTTTAGTAGCTACTGGTTGCCGTTCACAAAGAAGAGAATGATGGGAAGTTAGAAAATGGAATCAGCATTTCATTAGATTGAATTTACTGTAAAATATAATCCATTTAACTTTTTTGCTTATTCTGCTTTCTTATAATTTACCGAATTCATTCATGAAAGACACAAAGGCAAATAACCCAATGATTTCATCAACGATATTGAGATATTTCACTGGGAAAATATAGTACCCTGTATTTGTTTCCTTTCACTTCGCTATTTTTTACATTTTTTTTTTTTTCAGAAATATCAGAAAAACCTTCAAGTCTTGGGAAAAATGTCTTTGCCCACTGGAAATGTTACTGTTTTCCAATTTTTACGTTAGTGTTTCGAAACATCAAACATGTTTTTCAAGTGATGATTGAATTATTACTACTATATACATCATTCTCCTGCTGCATAACCCAAATACACTCATGGTCCCAAACTGATGGCCCAAAATTGCACTTCATGATTTTCTTGAAGAACGCAGAATTCATCCTCCCATCAATTACCACCAATTGTTCAGATCCCAAAGCAGCAAAGCAGCCTCAGTCTGTGGTTCTTCACAAAATTGCATAAATCAGTGATTTTTCTTCTCACCTGTTTTTAAGTTTCCATAGATCAGAGCATGATGTGAAGCTTTTTGAAATCTATTAGCCTACTTCATGTTGTCATATAGGCAGTGGTGCATGAAGTACTCAAGAGTAATACTTGAGTTAAAGCACTCAGCAAAATCCTACGCAACTACAAGTTACTCGGTCAAACATCTACTCAAGTTAAACTATTGAAGTATTCACTTTTGAGAATATTGAAGTATTCAAAAATACAAGTTATATTTTCTAGCTTTAGTAACTTTATGTATTATATTCAGAGTATTTTTTCATAACCTTGTAACTTTGAGAAAGCGGCTGATGTATAGATGCGTAGAACCACCTGCTACAAATTCTACAACATCTGTAAAGAACTTCAGCATAAAAATGCCACAAAAAACACAAGAGCTGATTATTGTTTATTCTTATTTTAAAAAACCCAAAAAGAAAACAAGTAAATTTATTTTCCTCACACTTTCACTATATGGAATAAAGGTTTAAGGTTGAATCTCTTACCGAAAAGAGACAACTTGGCCACATTGCAACAAGTAACGCCTAATTAATAAGTATAAACAATAAACAGTGTCTGCCCAGAGTTTTTTAAAATTGTAGAATGTCGCACTAATCTCTAAAAATGTGGTGTTCTTATTCAGTCCTAAGTGCTGCTGTCTGACATGTTTAAATTGTATTTCAAGAAAGAAAAAAAGCAATAGCGGATTACAAAGCAAAGCTGAGTGAAAAGGAACAAGGAGCAAGCAGCTTCCTAGAAATGGAGTTGAGTAGAAAGTACAATATTAGACTTTGAAATGTCTAATATTGTCTGAAAAAAATGACTCAAATAAAGATACTCAAAAAAGTACTTGCAAATGCACTTTGTTACTTTCCACCATATAGGCATATAGGTTCCATTCAAGAGATTCTAATTCTAGAAGTTGCCAGCATGAGATGAGTGAACTAAACCTATAGTTTTCTAAACATAAAGTAATCAAACAAATTATGTCATGAATGAACAAGTGGTAGAAAGTACTTTTTACGTGTATGCTAGGCTGGTTTGAATATAATCATAAATATAATATTGGAAAAAATAATTTTACTGTAATGGTTTAATGTTGTATTTATGATTTATTATAAAATAATTGTAATCTTAAAAATTTAAGTTTGGAAAAAAAGTAGTAGTCTGTAAAGCAGCACTTATCTTATTTGCACTGTATTGAAGTTTGTATTTTTGTGAAATTATGTAAAAGTTAAAGCAGTATGACTGTATTTGAAACCTATGGTAAGTATTGTGATGGGGCCAGTCTTTTTTTTTAAGGATAAAGCCAACTGGTTTGCTGTTGTCAGAAAAATCTAAATGTAGGCTGAAAGCTGATTGGTTGAAAGTAATACCAACTAAGAAGGACTTACAACAACTGTTATTTCTGCAAAAAAAAATAATTCTAAAAGCAGAAAAAATATAAATCGTTAAAAAAAAGACAAGAAATTGAATCAAGTTCCTAATTTTGATGTTATGATTCCTACAAAATAGGAAACCCATGCTAAACAATTCTTTGTTGTCTTTATGTTTTTACACCTAGTAACATGTATTTGGTTTGTGTAGAGCAGGGGTCGCCAACACTGTGTCCGCGGGCACCAAGGGGCCCTCAAGGACCACATGGGGTGCGCTCAACGCCTCCTGAAAACAGCAACTCAGCAGTGGGCTAAGTTTGAAATTTTATTTTATTCTGCGACTCTTCTTTTTAATCATTTATAGAGCATTTATAGAGCATTTCATCATAGTAATCATTTTAGGGCATTTTAGCATTTATAGAGATTTTAAAATTATAATGTTTAAAGGAAAATTAGAAATTAAAAGTTAACAATAAAAATGTATTTATTATGGATGAAGTTTAGGTAAACGCTGACCCCTCTTGTCCATGGGTCAGTATTGGTAGCCCTTCCTATGATTCAATAGCCATGAAGCAGCCCTCAGCCTTGAAATGGTTGATGACCCCTGGTGTAGAGAAATTACAGAACCTACATGAGAACAAGTTACCAAAAAATACCTGAGATACTGCCCCCAGGTGGATAAAAAAATGATTTACTATTTAAATAAAATTGTGAAACAAAAACCACCACTACTTGGAGGGGAGGAAATACATCCATCCATCCATCCATTTTTTTTACACGCTTGTCCCAAGTGGGGTTGCGAGGGGTGCTGGTGCCTATCTCCAGCAGTCAATGGGCGAGAGGCGGGGTACACCCTGGACAGGTCGCCAGTCCATCGCAGGGCGGGAGGAAATACACTACCCAGAAATTATACTCAAATATTACTTTATCATATTGTTACTGAATTTATAGGAATAAGTATTATTTTAATAAGTTGCTTAAGAGCAGAAATGTATTTGGTAAAAAGGCCCCTGGATTTTTGAGTAACTAATAGATTAAACATTTAAAATCAGCATAATCAGACTAATACAATTATAAAGTCATGTACTAATTCAGGTACTTTAAAGACCAGGATAATATAAATAAATGAAATGATAACAAAACAGGGATTTTCAGGCAGAAATCACTTGCTTTCAACATTAGACCCTATAAAACCAATCCTAACAATAGATAATGTGCATTTATGCTAAAACAGGGTAAATAACTTACTGTAGGTTCAACACAACCTCTGAATGGATCCACAGACACACAATATAACAATAAAGTTTAACATAAACTGTACTGTCAGTGCATGGCTCAGTTTTTGTTCTTTATTGGATGAAGTTAACTACAGTATAGAGAGTAGAATAGCCAAAATATTAATTATTAAGACTTAATAGGAATAGTACTAAAGTAAAAGGAAATAGTAGGTCGAAATAAAACCTATTATAAAAGTGTCTTTGTATTAAAAAGTTACCTAAGCTGGTTTAACAGAGTGAATGTGATAGTTTGCCTGTTTCTAAAAATGCATAAGGTATATTTGCGATATAACTTTTAGCTTGCAGGAAAATGCTTGTATTTTTCATGAAATGTAAAAAAAAAATCTAATGTTATTTACAAATCTCTTCAAGCAACCATGCAAAGAGACAGGACTAACAGAGATCTGTCATAGAAAAGAGAGATGACTTTTTTTATGAAATTCCCCCACATTTTAACTAAATGATGCTGAACAAGCGCTGAGCCCATTCTCATAAAAAAAAAAAATAATAATAACTGACAAGTACAGCCTTAGAATGGGAACGTATTGCAGTGCTCTAATTACAATGGCTGACTTTTTGGTTGTCTGGTGGCCTGTTTCACAGATTCAAATGAGCCAGTGTTAATTAACCCATATGGTGACACAAAGTCATTGATATAGTGGTGTATAAAAGAGGTGAAGGAAAACATTTGGAGAAACGTCACAACTCCTTTTATGCAGGTCTCCTTTACCATACCTGGGAAGCTGCTGCTGTGAACCAAGTCTCTGACGGGATTTAGATAAAGCTAATCCAGAGGCTAGAGCATTATACTGAGGTCAACAAATTACTCAAAGAAGGACACATTTTCTGCTTATTTCACATTTTCTGTTCACACTTCCTCTCATACACAATAAAATGTGGTTCTTTATTATCATAGCCTGAAATACAATGGGTTAAAAAAATTAAATCCGTAAGATATGTATTTTTCTAACTGCCTTTGATGCAGGTGTAAGGTTTTATCTTTTTATTAGCTCTTTAAGTAAGCAGCCATTGATCTGTGCAGTTGTGTGGGCTGATTAATTCAGAAAAGAATGTTAATCTTCCTGAATAGCAAGCCTGTGCATGACCTCTGAAAAGTTTTCACAAAACATGGTGCTATAATAACAAAAGGAGAGAGTGAGAGAGGCTGCCAGAAGGGGGGTGATAGATGAAAACCTATGAAAG